TCATTGCATTGCATTGCATTGCATCTCCTATTCAGGATTTCCTTGATCAATTTTCTGTTCTCCCCTCCCCCCCCCATCGTTGCATCTCCTATTCAGAATTTCCTTTATCAATTTTTTGTTCCCCCCCCCCCCCCATCGTTGCATCTCCTATTCAGAATTTCCTTGATCAGTTTTCTGTTCTCCCCTCCCCCATCATTACATTGCATCTCCTATTCAGAATTTCCTTGCACTAGTCTCTGTTCTCATTCCCCCACTTTACCCATTGCATTGCATCTCCCATTCAGGGTTTCTTTGCAGTTTTCTGTTCTCTCCCCCATCCCCTTGCATCTCCAATTCAGGATTTCCTGGCACTATTCTTCGTTCTCTTTCCCCCTCTTTACCATTGCACCGCATCTCATATTCAGGATTTCCTTGCACAATTTGCTGTCCCCCCCCCATCAATGCATTGCGTCTCCCATTCAGAATTTCTTTCCAGTTTTCTGTTCTGTCTCCCCCATCCCGTTGCATCTCCTATTCAGAATTTCCTGGCACAATTTTCTGTTCTGTCTCCCCCATCTCATCCTGTTGCATCTCCTATTCAGAATTTCCTGGCACAATTGAGTATTCTCCCCCCCCCATCCTATTGCATTTCCTATTCATACTTTCCTTGCATAATTCTCTGATCTCCATCCCAATCCCATTGAATTGCACCCTATCCCATCCCCTGATCCCTTAATTCTGACAGCCGCACAACACTTTCATACCCCCCCTTTCTTGCCCATCCCACTCATTTTCTCTCTCTCCCCACCCCCTCCCATCGTTTCTTGCAGCTGGATCCTAATCCTGTTTAGTCAGAGAAGTAAAATTGCACGCCTTGCAATGGGGCTTCCTTCCAAGCCAGCCGGCTTAGCCTCCCTCTCTTCAAATCCTCTCCCCACTCTGCTCTCTGACTCAGACAAATCCTTCTTTTCCTATTTTCTTTCTCCTTCTCCCTCCTTATAGTTCACCCCCCCTTTAATTCCCCCTTTTAAATAAAGGTTCTCCACCAGCTCCTTCTCTTCCCTTTATTGGGTCTTAACTCCCTCCCCCTTGTTAAAAATTCTCCTCCTCCCCTACTATGACATCTTCCTTCCTCCACTTCCCCTTCTCCCCCCCACCAACCTCTTACTTCCTCAACCCAGCCCACTGCTGTCCGTCTCCTTCCTCCTCCAGCTGTGCGCTACATCCAGTCTGCCTTTGTGTCTGATGGGGAACGTACTGCTCCAGCTGCTCCATGGGATGACACCTCTTTTGGGTACCCTTTTTGGGGAGGATGCCCTCAAAATGTCTCTTCTGGTGAGCAGCAGGTAAGCATTCACCTTTGCCTTTTGCCCTTTTTTAACTATGAAAAGGAATTCAGCTGTAACATTGTTTGGGGGGCAGATTTCTTAAAAGTTGGGGGTCAGAGCAAATGGAGCTGGGGACACGAGGTTGCTTTTGTTCCATTGCATTTGGGTCGTGGGGGAAGCATCTTGCTTTGCTGTCAGTTAAACTTCAAAGTCATGTAAGCCTTTTTTAAAGAAAATAGCTGAAGGGAAAAGTTTTTGGTTGAATCTGTTTCTTGAACGTTGGGACTGGCGCTCTAGGTTCACTTAGGACGCTCTTGCTCCCCTGAGAAGTTCTGCAGGTTGATTATAAAGTGTGTGGATTCTGGGGCCAATTAAATATTTGAGATCCTTGACTGTGTTGTGGGGTCAGGGTTTGCTGGACAGCATCTATTTAAAATGCACAACTGTTGATCTGATGTGTTTAGGAGGGCTGCTTTGCTAAGAACTACAGGCTGCTTTGCTAAGAACATAAATGTCTTGTGTTCAACAGAAAAATCCCACCTTTAGGTGCACTTTGACTTTTGAAAATTTTAAACGCGATTCCTTTCACATCCAAACAAGCTTTCCCAATGTGGCCTGCTTCGAGCGCTCATTCTACTCTGATGAAGAGAGCTTTGACTGTAGAAAGTGTATACCTTGAAACTCTTGTTGGTTTTAAGGCGCTACCAGCAAATCTAACTGATTCTTATAATTATACTTTTAATAGCTGCAATCCAAAGGGCACTTTCCTGGGAGAAAGCCCCACTGAATAACATGAGACGTACTTCTGAGTAGACTTACTTAGGCTGCTGCCACACACGCTAAGTAATCCACTTTCAATCCACTTTCAGTGCACTTTCAAAGTGGAGTTTTACTGTGTGAACTGGCAAAATCCACTTTGAAAGTGCACTGAAAGTGGATTGAAAGTGGATTACTTAGCGTGTGTGGCAGGGGTCTTAGAACGGCTCCCTGTGTCTCATGTCTTAAAAGATATGTACAGATAAAAACGTGAGCCTATTTTGCCAGAATAGTGGGTGTTTAAAATTATTCCAGATGCCATTGATTTAAGCACCGGTCTTGAAATATATGTCCATCAAGAAAACTAATTTTGGAGAACTTTGGGTTTTTTCTTTTTTGTCCTGCCCAGTTTCAATCCTGTTTTTGTTGCTATTGAGGAGGCCTATGAAAACATAAAATAACTCCAGATGACCTGTTGGAGGTGTTTATAGTACACAAGAAAATATGTCAGGTCTCATGTTGACTTTCCTGGATTCCCCCCCCCTCTTTTTTTTTTTACTATGGTGTTATGTTTCAGGATACACCAGCATACCCTTTTTAAAAAAATAAACCCAAGTTATTCTTGTTTCTAGGAATGCACCAGCTTTTCTTAGTTCTTATACTTCATTTTTTAAATATACCTATGTGTTAGACGCAGCCATTTCCATAGGACAGAGGCTGATAAGTCTTTTGGCAGAAATAATAGTGACAGAACACAGGTGCATTATGTGATTCTCCACCACCAGGGCCCCATTGAGGTTTTGCCTTCATTGGTTTCCATAGGTGGATACGCTTGCAAATGTCATGACTTGGATTTGATGAACTGCTGTTTGATCATTCCTTAGAACTCAGTTTGTTGCATTTGAACCGTTCGTACAACGTGAATAACCCCCAACAAATGTGTTCTGTAAATGGTCCGTAAGGCTCTTTTATTGTAGTGGTGGAAAGTGCCGTCAAGTCACAACTGATTTATGTCAACCCCGTGGGCTTTTCAAGGCAAGAAACGTTCGGAGGTCGTTTCCCATTGCCTGTCTCCGCCTAACGACTCTGGTATTCCTTGGAGTTCTCCCAACCAAATACTGACCACAGCCAATCCTGCTTAGCTTCTGAAATCTGACAAGTTCCTTTATGGTAGCTCCTGGATTTTGCTGGACTGTATTTACATAGTCTGCAATAACCGAAGGCCACTATACATTCCAAGGGTGGGCAGTTGCTTGCCGGTTACTTGTTCGCTCCTCTTGTGTAAATTCCCTGTGCAAGAGATTATCTAGCTGCACACAGTTCTTTACCGAATTGTGAATAGGGTTTTCATTTGAGTTTGTTTCAAAATATAAAATGTAAAAGTATCTTTTATACTGTTCTTATAAGGGCTGGGAACTTTGGCAGAAAGATACAAAATAGCTTGACAGAGAAGAATTTTATATTACTCTTTCTACTACCAAGGCTAATTAAAAAATAATAATATTTTTTTTAAAAAAATGAAACTTGCAGCCAGTTTTCTCAATTATTTAATTTATTATATGCACAGTACCATTAATAGAATTTTCATAAGGTTCTTTGTAGAGGGGAAGGTTTGTGACAGGTAATCTTCTGGTAACTGCTTTGGTCTTTGTGAGGCTGAGTATGGGTTCTCCCTTCAGGAAACTGGATTATGAAATATTCCATAGTGTCTCGCTATCATACATTTTAGCCCAGAAGAACCCCTTAAACCAGGGGTGTCAAACATGCAGCCCAGGGGCTGGATCAGGCCTGTAGTGGAACTGACCATCTCCTGCTTCCAGTTCTGCTGCTGCATCATAGCTTGCTTCGTCAGACTCTCTCAATCACTCAGCCATTTCATGTTCTAACCTGGGTCCTAGACTCAGAACTCTGAGCATGAGATTTCTGTGGTGAATGTCAATAAATCAAAAGTAGCTTTGCAGCTTACAGAGCTAATGTTTTAAGCATGTTTTTATTCTAAGTTAAAAAAATCTTTGTGTTTGTGTCCTTTATAAAGTTTATATCTCCACTACCTAGCATTATATTTTATGACACACATGGCCCGGTCCAACAAGGTCTCATTTATGTCATAACTCATAACAAATGAGTTCGACAACTCTGCCTTAAACTTTAAGTTCAGGTGAAACACATGAAACTGCCTTCTACTGAATCAGACCCTTGGTCCATCAGTTTCAGTATTGTCTACTCAGGCATTGGCTCTCCAGGGTCTCAGGCAGAGGTCTTTCACATCAGCTACTTCCTGGTTCTTTTTAACTGAAGATGACAGGGATTGAACTTGGGAACTTCTGCATGCCAAGCAGAGGCTCTTTTACTAAGTTGTGGCCCCAGATATTTTACACAGGCCAGAGTATGGATTTCAGTTTTCACCGATCTTCCGCTCTTTCAGGGTTTGGTGCGATGAAGGATCATCAGCCCGATGTAAAATAAGTGAGTCCATATCCTCTGTCTTCCCCATAGAAGGGAGAATGAAGGTTGGAAAGTTGGCAGCCAACTTATGGTGACCCTGTAGGGTTTTCAAGGCAAGAGACATTCAGAGGTGGTTTGAAGAAGCGGAGATTGGATTTATAACCCGCCCTTCACTCGGAGTCTCAGAGCGGCTTACAAACTCCTTTCCCTTCCCCTCTCCACAACAGACACCCTGTGAGGTAGGCGGGGCTGAGAGAGCTCTTTCCAGAACTGTCCTTTTTTTTATGAACTAGAAAATCAATAAGTTATTTATTTATTTATTAACTTTTTTAAAAGCAGAAATGTGCACTATGAATTAGTATTCAAGGATTTAATTGGTGATATATAAATTGATTAGGGTGTTGAGTGTGCCAATCAGGTAAATAACAATTTATATAAGTTCAAAATCACTTAATGCAAGCAATTTAAAGACTATATAATATCTGTGCACCTGCTAAAAAGATAGAAGCACTTTATAAAAAATAAAATTAAAAAAGGCTTTCAAGGGTACCTCTATGTAGGTTAATGGAGAATCCTCCAATTGTAAAGGACTGTACAGTACAAGAGAGCAAAACAGTCTCCTTCCTCTTCCTGTGAGGTTGGTGGGGCTGAGCGAGCTCAGAGAGAATTGCTCTTTCAAGAACAGCTCTGACAGAACTATGGTTTGCCCAAGGTCATCCAGCAGCTGCAAGTGAAGGAGTGGGGAATCAAACCTGGTTCTCGCAGATTAGAGTCCGCACACTTAACCACTACACCAAACTGGCTCTCAGTTTGCCATTGCCTGTCTCTACGCAGCAACCCTGGACTTCTTGGGGGTCTCCCATCCGAGTACCAACCAGGGCTGACCTTGCCTAGCTTCTGAGATCTGATGAGATCAGGCTAGCCTGGGCTATCCAGGTCAGGGTTAGGAGAAAGTACAGAGTCAGTAATTTTTCAGTGCAATGAAAGGGACCGATGTTGTGCACACTCCCTAAGAGGAGAGCTCGGTGACATTTATTAAAGGTGTAGGAAGCGGAAGAGACCATCCCGTGTTAAGCAACAATTGGATGACTGTGCCATCAGACTCCTCCAGAGAGGCTTTCGTGCTGCCGATGACTTGTGGCAGAATTATAGGGCTCAAAAGGAACCCTGCGTTTTATTGTCAGTGCGTGGAAGCTGGCTGCATGGTTTTAAGTGTTTTGGAGGGGGGGGTTGTCAAATGCAAAATGCTTTTAAAATGCCTTGGGCTTTACTTGGCTGTTGCTAATGTGTAAGTGGTACATGAAGCGCCGAGTATCCTTTTCCGCTCAGGCTCTCTCTCTGCCTGTGCCACATCTGCTCCATTTCTCCGAAAATAAAGCTCACGTCGCTGATTCATGCAACTAACTTACCAAACCGCTCTCTCCATTAACATTTCCCTCTGGGTAAAAATATACTTAATATCCATGCTGCCTTTCATTTTCCTATCTGGATGGTTGGCATTAGTGGACAGAAGGCTACGTGTGTTTGCATGTGTGCAGATAAAAATGAAAGCTGGCATAAACACACACACAGACACAAGAGGAGACAAACAGACTAAGGCATAGTATTAAGCAAGCCTGTAGGGCTGGCATGAATCCAATTTATGTGCGTGTTCCTCTAAACCAAACATGACCGGGAATTATCTTGTCTTCCAGCTGTGTTCTTTAAAACATAAATGGGCTTGCTTTAAGTTGCTAAGATAATATTGGCAATCATGTTTATTAGGTGTCTTATACTTTCATACTCTGTACCGTGGACTTGTGTGTGTGTTTATTTTA